GTGCAGCGACCCTCAAGTTAAACCACAACCACCCGTCTCTAATCAGAGAGAGTAGTCCTATAGTCCTCTGGGACTTTAGCGACTTTTCTTTACATTCCATTGTAAACACTTGCATAGCCTATCAATTGCATATTTGTACACTGCATTTCAGTCATGACATATGGGAAGGCAGACAGAATATTTTAAGTATTTTAGCTCACAGATGAAAGGTCAAATTCATCTATCAGAAAGCACTTGGGAAATTCAAAGGCACAAGACAACGGCTGCATTACTCGCAGGTTGGATGTGAAAACACAAACCCGTCCAGGGATTGCACTGCAGAAAAGCAAGCAGCAGCTGCTAAAGTTTTACACCACCAACATATGGAACAACTGTTCAGTTGGGTATGATTTGTATCCATATCATCTTCAAAAGAATGTGGTATTTTATTATTGGTTTTGACAAAGCCCAACTGTTTCTGATTAAACCTGGTGCCTGATATCTGGACAGCTCAGGCTCAAATTTGTGCTCATCAGTTGTCTGATGACTGGTGATTAGCTCCTGGTGGAAGAGGCTGATTTATGAAAAGGCATCTGATATTTGACATCTTCAACGTCTAGGACCTTCAAATTACCCCACGATTGTTAAACAGGATTAGCGGATCTGTTATGGAGTCTTTCAATTAACCTACTGGAATAAGCCAACAAGCCGATGTCCTAATTGATTCAATGGTCAAGGCTGGGTAAGTAACAAGAAATTTAGGAATTCTGTGCTTAGCAATCTGCATAGGTTGGCTATTGAAGTCCAGCAGAATCTTTACATATTCAACAGGTTCCTAAATTAGGGGCTGAATCTTATCAGAAATTGGCAAAGTGCCTTTTTTTGTTTGATTTCATAGGGAACTTCCTTCTGCAAGGCCTAGTGACTGTTCTCAAGTTTTTTCCTAAACCCACCTTACGCACGATGTCCCTTGCTCCTCATATTCTCCTACTTGCAACAGTCCATGTCAGAACCTCCTGAGATTTTTGGTGTTGACGCCAACTTTAAAGGCCAGTTGTGCACCTGGTGAGGTACTAGCAAGCTGCTCTGGGGTGCTACGTAACCA